CTGCTTTAGTAAGTCGAGTTCAGTTGTTAGGTTGATAACGCGTTCTTCTAGAGCGGAAGCGGATTTTTCGCTTTCTATGTTTTTCTGTGTTAGTAGGTTTACCTCTTGTTGCAGAAGAGCAAGGCTACTCTGAAGTTTCGCGACCGTCTGCACAAGTGCAAGGAATTCATCCTCTTGTTGCTTGCTGGATGACGTGTGTTTCACTTTTCTTTTTACTTCACCTTCCGCAACGACCGTGACTGCGCTTTATTGAATAAAGTGTACCGTCCTGCAGGCCTCTAGGACATATATATATATATATTGGACGCCGCGACGACTTCGACCCTTACGTGCAAACAACCACCAGGATTGCAATATCCGACACTATGGTGGACCGGTTCCTGCGATGATATTGCTACCCATTTAGGACTTACTTCCGTGTTCCTTTAACGCACCAAGTGTGTTTGTTTACTTGTCAGATGTAACAACGCTTTTTGTGTTCCCTTGAACTTAATAAATGACGGCGAGAGCTTGGCTGCCTCGTCGTCACTCGTTCCGTACGTATTCTCTGTCTTGCCCTCTGGCGGCCGCTCCCCTCCTTACTGTCTAATGCACCAAAGACGGGTTTGGGAACGATTTCTCGCCGAATAGGAGGCAAAACACGCATGTCCTAGAAGTGTTTCATGCACTGTAACATAGTGATCCAAGAATAAAACACTCGCACCCACAGATGCAAGCACGCACGCACGTTTGTCTCTGATAAGGAAGTGTGTCACCCAAAATTAGAAGCAATGAAACTACCTATGCAAGTTTTCAACCGTGAAAACAGTGCAACATTTTAACAAAGGACGAGTGAAAGAAGTGCACGGACCAAGCGCTGACTACCAACTAAAGTTTAATTTTCAAGTGAACCAGTAAATAAACACAGGAAGCAGAGAGGAAAGAACCAATCAAGACACAAAAATACAACCCAACCGACAAGATTTCAACTACGTCATCACCCTCACACGTGCCCGCCATTCTCCTTCATAAAAAGGACTTCATCATCCCCCAAGTGCACCGACGGTGCGCTTACACATTCCCCTTTCCCTTTTGATAAAATGAAAAATGCCCCTTACTTTTATTACGCGCCAAGATCGTCTAATCATTAAATATGGGCACGCAGCCGCACCTGCTCCAATATACTGCTAAGTGGCCAGGGGAGGAGAAAAGAACTGCCTAGTTACTTATTCAAGTGAGTATTTAAATAACTTCTCATAGCTATGTTTGTTATATTTATGACCTATTTGTATGGCTCCTTTTGTAATACAATATAGCTTGATAGGATGGAAGCTTGGGCGAGTTGGTGAACCATACTTGACGGTTAGAGCGCAGGAAAAATCAATCTCACACCAGACACTCAGGAAGACAAGCACACGCGCTGAACTTACAGTTCTTGTGTATTCAACTACTTCATTTTACTCTTTAACGTCTGGGTTGACTTTTCAGAACGCGATAAGTAGAAGAAGTAGCACGAAATACAAAGGAAAATTTTAAAGAGAAGGCAGAAGAACAGTAAAAGAGAAGAAAAATGAAGAGACGGAAAAATATCTAAACGAAACACTTTTACACATCGTCCCTCTCCCTCATCGCTATCATTTAGATAGAAATTGGAGCTCTTTGGTTGACAGCGCTATAGAAGGACTACTTACACACTTGTCCTTCAGCTGTGCTATCCTTTCCGCTTCCATTATTTCTCTAGTCAATGCGTTTCTACTCCTACCTATTACAGAACAATTTTCAAAATGTACAAGATAGCTACAATCGCGACAATAGATTCCCAAGTGTCCATCTACGACTCAGTGGGTGTTATAAAAATGCCCTCTTAAACGATCATTCAGACACCTTTCAGTCTGGCCTATATATTCTCTACCACATGAGAGTGGGACAGAATATACGACTCCTTCTGTGCAATTCACAAAGCTCTTTTGGTGCTTTTTCGAAATACCAACTTCCCGGTGTGCCGATCCGTTTGCCTTCCTGCACAGGCTTAGAAGCTTATTTGGTGCTGAAAAAGCAACAATAATGTTAATGCGGTTACCTATCTTCTTTAGACCGTGCGAAACTTTATGTATATATGGAACAACGGCCGTCCTTTTCTTTTCTGTATTAAGTTTTGGTCGTTCACCCCATCTTATTCTGTTTAATGAATTCTCTGCCGCGGCTGTAAGTAATGCACTAGGATATCCTGTTGACTTTAACCTGGCAATTTGAGCATCAAAGTTAACCTTAAGTGAATGAATACAAGACTTATTAAGCGCATGGGTGAGACATAATTTAACAATGCCTCGCTTAACAAGCTTGGAGTGTGCTGACTGAAAATTAAGAAGAGGTTTCTTCCCTTTCGCTTCGGATGACCAACATACATGATGCTCCGAAAAAATTAATCTGAGGTCCAAGAACCGCAAGGAACCTTCTGTGGGGAGCTCATGAGTGATTTCTAGTGGATCTATACAGGATTTAAAGCAGGAAAGAACGTTAGAGACCAATATTTTAAAGTTATTTGCTGCACAATCTAGCACAATCAAAAATCATCAACAAAGCGAACCACCTTCACAACAGTAGAAGCATCTAAGCTACGAGAAAGGATCCGGTCCCGATGCGCGAGGTAAAGGTTACTCAAAACTGGTGCTATGCATGAACCAATGCATACCCCTGCCTTTTGGAGAAAGGTCTTACCCTCCCAACACGCAAACGTAGATTTTAAATATACGGCGAGCAATTCAAGGAAACCACCTTGGGAAATTCCTGACGCGGTCTGAAAAGCAATATCACCAAAAGAGTCAATGCAGTCCTCCACGCACTTCAACAGCTCATCGTGCGGCAGAGAGTAGTAGAGGTCCTTTATGTCTACTGAGAAGGCCTTTAGATGCCAGTCATTAGAGTTTGTTAGAAACTTTATCACTTCGCTAGAGTCTTTTAGCATAAAAGGATCCTGAACCGGCAAGAGATTTAATTTCTCCTGCAAAAATATGGCAACAGACTTCTGCCACCACTCTTCCTCAGATACAATCACCCTTAACGGCCAATCTACTTTATGAGTTTTTGCGCTGAAAAACAGCTCTAAGCTAAGGTGCCTACTGCGTTCAATAGAGGAGCACACTTGTTTTAGCTCAAGCTCACTACATACCTTTTTTGCTTCACTTTTAACCTTGGTTAATGAGATACTAATGTTACGCTGAAAAACCGAGTCAATGGCTAACACGGCCTTGGTTCCAAAAACGTCCCGTGGCATAATCACAAATCCATCCTCTTTGTCTGCTGGTACCAAAGATAGAGATTGACGCACGAAATATGATTCAATCTTCTTCACTGGTAGCATAGTTTTTTGAGGGGTGTGCCGATATAACAAATCTACTCCCTAAGAAGTGCATCGAGCCATCTCTGCTTATAATAATACTAAATTTATTTCCATCGATTGTGATGGTGGGACCCGTGGAAAAAAGCTGCGATATGCAACTTTTTTCCACGGGTCCCAGGAGCCTATCTCGACACTTGCCTCACAAATGAGAGTTGCTCAGGCGCAGTTGCCTTGGCAAGATGTGTAGCACATTTTGAAAATTGTTCTGTAATAGGTAGGAGTAGAAACGCATTGACTAGAGGAATAATGGAAGCGGAAAGGATAGCACAGCTGAAGGACAAGTGTGTCAGTAGTCCTTCTATAGCGCTGTCGACCAAAGAGCTCCAATTTCTATCTAAATGATAGCGATGAGGGAGTGGGACGATTTGTAAAAGTGTTTCGTTTAGATATTTTTTCCGTTTCTTAATTTTTCTTCTCTTTTCCTGTTCTTCTGCCTTCTCTTTAGAATTTTCCTTTGTATTTCGTGCTACTTCTTCTACTTATCACGTTCTGAAAAGTCAACCCAGACGTTGAAGAGAAAAATGAAGTAGTCGAATACACAAGAGTTGTAAGTTCAGCACGTGTGCTTGTCTTCCTGAGTGTCTGGTGTGAGATTGATTTTTCCTGCGCTGTCACCGTCACCTCAGGATTGCATTCTATTTATAATACATCTTTTTTTAAGCACCTTGTTCTGGGGTTGATAAATGAAAGGAAGAGTTTTGTTTGTTTAAATAAGTGCTTTTACATGACTATAAAACACTATCTAATATGTAAAATATCAAACGAATACACTACGAGAGTCGTCAAGAGACACATCTTGAAGAATAGAAATAACTTGTTGTTCAAGGGGGATTCGCAAATTGCAGAGTTTGATTAGAGAGAAGATTTTAAAATCAACCAAGCAGAAAGCAACTTGGGCGATTCGGGTAGTGGAAGGTTCGCTAAACTTTCTGGACACGCAAAACGGAGCCAGAAAGCACGTTTACTACGTCCGTTGTAAAACACCAGCAACATGATGATAGATGCAATAAGGAACATGAACACAAACATGCTTTTAACTAGAGGCCGGTGCAATTACCGTTCGCATAACTCTCCTTAAAAAGTGTCTGACAGAAATCTCGCGACTAAATTTCGCCTCTTTTTCTCGTAATTAGCTTGGTGAAGCAAAAGTTTTTTCGGGGCCTGGTGCCGAGGACTCCAGCTAAGAACTTCTTTGAAAAAACATGATATATTCTTGTACCCTTCACAGTTTTTGTCTAGTATTCCTGCGTGTTGTGGAATTTTTTAATGTGTATTTTCCTCAAAGATTTGTGTTTACGATGTCAGAGTTACAAGAAACATTTTGCTATATTTAGAGTTCATTCACACTTGCATAAATGCTTAAGCGCGAGACACATGAGATATACAATCAGCGTGACACCTACATTTTCCTAAGCACCGCCAAACTGGTACATCCCTTTGACGCGTTGTACGAAACGTCGAACATTTTGTCCTTAATGTGACTCTCGTATAGAGCAGGCTAGAGAGAGACCATTTCTGTGAATGTTGATAGCTCAAGCAGAAGATTCGAGTGAGTGAAGATCGCACTTCATATTCCTGGTTATTCCTAGTCGAACGTGGGCAGAAACCGGTGAGTACCGACCTCAACGTGGTCCAGCGGTGTCCCGATTGTACGAATCCAGAGATCCGTGGGCTCATCAGGGTTCGTGGAGCTGAAGATTGGACTGGTCTCGGTGGCACCGTACATGATCTGAAAGGTCGCATCATTGTAAGGCGTAACATAGCAATCCTATAAAACAGAAAAGTATGTTCTAGTAGAGAGACTCGATTTTAAAAGGTTTTTTTACGTACGTATACAGCTTGGGCGTTTATTCGTGTTCTCATTTTTTCTACAATCGCAGGATTACATAACGACCCGGACATGATTGCTGCAAAAAGAAATGACAAACACCAAGGGGCATTCAGAAAAAGTGAAGAGAGGTAATGTGAGGCAAGAAACAGACAGACTGGTCTAACGACTAAGTTAAAACAAACAAAAAAATAAAGACATTTACAATTATCTATACATAAAATTGAAAAAAAATAAACACGGAGGACAAGCACAGGACAACCACGATCTTTCATTTAGCAACGACCTTTATTTTGGGCTGAAACAATGCACCCTGAACGAGACCCCGACTAAGATAGGGTGAAAAGGAGAAGGCGAACTGGGAGATGGAAAGGGTTATAAGGGGGAAGGAAAGGAAACTGGGAGATGGAAAGTGTAATAAGGGACGAAGGAAAACTGGGAGATGGAAAGAGAGAACCACTAGGCACGGGCACAACTACCGTGAAGTGTGTTTTTACGGGGAGTTGCGATATTTTTCAAGTTTAGGCCTGATGAATTCTAAATTCCGTCTTGACAAAATTACTGAGGCCTATGAAACGTTGCTTTCTGCGTTCTGGATGAGAAAGGATTTGATAATTTCACGTCCGTGGTGATTGCGGTGTCCCCCTTTTGTCTTGGTTCCTGCGAGGTAAGGCCCGCGTCCAATGCGTGATCGCATTGGATGCGGGCCTGACTGCATCGATGCGACGACCCCATTCATCCGATCGCGTGATCCGCGATCGGATGAATGGGGTTCTCAGTTCTTGAAGTGGCTTCGTTTTCGTGCTCTCGTAAGCGGTCGTTGATACATCGGCCGGTTTGTCCTATGTACTCAGATCCGCATTTGAGGGGGATGGAGTAAACTTTTCCTGTGCAGCAGGCTCGGAAAAGCGTGGCGTGCTTTTTCTCGCAACCCGGCTTGGCTTCTTGTCGGCTGATCACGTCGCACATGCTTGCCTATTTGAGTCTACCGGAAAAAACAACTTTCGTGCCATAGCGTGAAGCAATGGATCGGATACGATGGGGAGCATAATGAATGTATGGTATGCTGGCTATCCTTCGACTGAAAGGCGTTTTTTTACATGCTTTTGGGTTGATAAGCTGGTGGAAAGCGGACACGAGGCGTTCCGCCGGATATCCCGAACTCAGGTGTTGTCGAGTTTGGCTCGTTATGCTATCTGTTGCCGAATGTTGACGGGATTTCGTTTTAGCTTATGTGATTAATGTCTTCATGATAAATATCTTAACAGATTTAGAGTCGTCTTGGACAAAAGATTTTCTCCTCATTCAATCTCCAAAGCCGTACGCAAGCCCCTTGCATTAGGATCGCGCCACCGACCTAAATAACAGATGCAAAACTGTCCTACAACACAGAGGCTCTTCATTCAAAAGGAGCTAAGTTCGCACCAGATCTTCCGGTCACAAAAGTCGACCACCTGGCAGCCATCCACCAGGTTGCAGCAGTTATACCGGAACATGAACGACAGGAATTTTCGGGGGCAGCGACCCGTTCAGTAGGCTACAATCCAGCCCCCGGACCAAGGCAAGTGTCAACATTCGGTCGGCAGTAGCTGAAATCTGAGAAAAAAACCTCAAGCGCCTCCAGGAAGATAAAACAGGAGGTTTCGTAGTAATTGATGACGAAATGTATAAAATGAAAGACAAAGCCGCAGTCGAAAATAACTTCACAGCCATTAAGAAGAGGCCTTAAGGATCTCTCTGCAGCAAAGTGAAAAAACTATGCGTTCAGCTAAACCTACCGAAAATAAAACAATTGGTAACAGCTCCAGCCGACCAGTATCTGCAAGTATTCTTCGCCGTTAGAACGCATAGGCCGGACGTCCCCCTCCGCACAATAGTATTTGAGATTGGATGCTGGCAGAAGTACCTCGCCATGTTTCTCCAGAAACACCTTTTCGGCGTACATCCTCCACAACCTTTTCGAATCAAAAATTCTCAGGAGCTTATTAACGCCCTAGAACCGGTTCATACTGATGCGCCTAATTTAGACTTCTTTTCGCTAGATATAGAAGATATGTACTAAAACCTAGACATTCCAATTCTTCTCGAATTCGTAGAAGAAGGCATCACCGAACACGGCATCTGCAGCTTCCAAAACTCATCCGGAGTGTCGCTTTCCGGCTTCCTCGACCTTCTGCAACTTTACCTTAAATCAATAATGATTGTGCACAAAGGACAAATCTGTATACAGAAATTCGGGACGTGTATAGGGTCTTGCCTTGCACCCATATTAAGGGAAATCTACCTGTCTTATGTCGATAGAACCATACAGGTAAAGCTCAAGAACACTAGCGCGAATGCACTGTAGCCCGCTACGTTGATGACCACTTGATTATTCACCCTCTAGCCAATAAAGCCGAGGTGATCGTGGCCTCGTTCGAAAGCGCAGGAGGCAAACTAAGATTCAAAAAGGAAGATCCATTTTCGGAAGGGCTGCAATTTCTTGACATGCGATTGAAAAAAAACAAAGAAGGTGTTTGCTGGGCGTTCAGTCAGCGTTCAGAAAAGGCTGCGCTTCCTTTTGAGAGTGCTCATTCAAAGTCTGTTAAGATAGGCGTTATCAAGACGCTAATCCCATCAGCTGAAATGAAAGCCTGTCAATAATCGGCAACAGATAGCAGAAAGAGCCAAACTCGATGACTCCTGAGTTCCGGATATCCGGCGTAACGGCTCGTGTCCGTTTTCCATTAGCTTATCAACCCGAAAGCAACTACAAAAACGCCTTTCAGTCGAAGGATAGCCAGCATATCATACATTCATAATGCTTCCCATCGTATCCGATCCATTGCTTCACAGTATGACACGAAAGTTGTCTTTCCAATAGATTCAAATTGGCAAGCATGTGCAACAGGATCAACCGACAAGAAGCCAAGCGGGCTTGCGTAAAAAAGCGCGCCACGCTTTTCCGGGCCTGCTCCACAGAAAAAGTTTACTCCATCCCCCTCAAATGCGGAACTGCGTACATAGGACAAACCGGCCGGTCTATCAACGACCGCTTACACGAGCACGAAAACGAAGCCACTTCAAGAACTGACAACCCGATTCATCCGATCGCGGTTCACGCGAACGAATGCACTGGATGCGCGCCTGACTTCGCGGGAAGCGGGACACCGCCATTGGCACGGACGTGAAATCATCAAATCCTTTCTCATCCAAAACGAAAAAAAAAAAAAAAGTTTCATCGGCTTTAGCAAACTTATCAAGACGGGAATTAGAACTCATCAGGCCTGAACCTGAAAAATATCGCCACTCCCCGTAAAAACACACTTCACGGTAGTTGTGCCCGTGCCTCACGGTTTTCCCTTTCCATCTGCCAGTTTTCCTTCCCCCTTATGATCCTTTCCATCTCCCAGTTCGCCTTCCCCCATATCACCCTATCTTAGTCTGGGTCTCGTTCAGGGTGCAATGTTTCTGCCCAATTTAAACGTCGTTGCTAAACGAAAGAACGTGGTTCTCCTATGCCTTTGCTCCATGTTTCATCCTCTCAATTTTATGCATTCATGTTCAACCCACTGGCCTTTACCAGTCCTACAATTAACTGTAACGTGAAATTAGAGCGCAGCTCTTAAGAAGGAGGACGGGAGGGTATGGGAGGGGAGGGTATGCCTCTCCTCCCTTTCGTGCCCTCCCTTCCTCCTGTTCCATCTCCTCCTTCTCTCCTCATCTCCTCCTCTCCTTGACCTCCTTCTCCATCCCCTCCTTTACCCTCCTCCAATTCAGTTTCCCCGCTAAATTTAGCGCGGAAAATGACAACGTGACTTGATGTCAAGTCACCTATAAACAAATTCAGATATCACGTGATCTGAACACCAATTCAATTCCCCGATAAATTTATAGGCGAATTGGTGTTGAGGTCAGGAAACGTCAATATTCCTGCTAAACCTAGCGGAAAAAAATTAATCTGTCCCCTAAATCCAGAGGAGAAACTGAATTTCCCCGCCAAAATTTTTCGGGGAATTGAATTTGCGTTGAGATCACGTAGCGGGAAATTGAAATGGTGTTGAGGTAACGTGACGTCAATTTTCCCGCTAAATCTAGGAGAGAAATTGAAGTTGTACACTAAATCTAGAGGAGATACTGAATTTTCTCGCTAAATTAAGTGGATAGTTTAATTTGTGTTGAGGTCCCGTGACGTCAGATTACGACGCCGACACCGACGCCGCGAAACACGGAAATGGGTACCTTAGAACTGCGCTCTGAAAAGACGAACAAGCTCGCGACTACTCCAGAGAGCCCGCAGCCACAACGAAATCGTTTAGGTATGAACCGCAGTTTTAGTGAAGTATTGAGGACGGACTCAGAATTCTACGGAGCTCTACGAAGAAAACCTTGTGGCGAAAACCGTCGTCGATGCCCGTGTATTTGAAACTATATTATATTACATAAATCTTGTGATGGAACACTGGGCATCAAGCACTTGAGTAAGCAAAATCAAGGACTTTGGTTGACTCTCGTTTTACGGTATATTGGTAGGCATTTACTTGTTCTAAATAAAACAGGTGGAGTTTCCCTTGTAAACCACTCAATGCTACTTTCTTATATACTATGCAGGGGATGCCCTTTTTCACCTAGGCGAGATTTGTGCTTTAAACATTTATTAGACTTGTCCCCAGAAAGAGTATCACTGAACAGTCCCCCATCACTACCACTGCACAGTCATGGTCAAAACAAAAAACCATCGGAGCGCGTGCAGTCCTGAGCCTGCAAAACCTTCTGGTGGAACTTCATGTTTCTTCTGTAGCGAGAATGTACCCTATTCGAGCCTACGCCATAACCGTCCCCCCCCCCCCCCCCCCCTCCGCTATCACGACCGACAGCACATAGCTCCGTGACCCTATTAGGTTCTGAATGAACCGCAACGCAGTAAAAGTGGTTTTGTTCTACAGAATTCCAGACTACGGAAAACTAAAAAAAAATCGCCGCCGGCCAGGAACAGGGGTCAGTTCTCTTTTGATTTCTTTACTAAATGAAAAGTGGCCATTTGTATACGTATTAGGGGCAAGCTTGCCCCATTAAAGATTTATTTTCAGTTCCGCTATAATCTTTTATTTGTGCTTGTACGTCGCTGAGGCAGAGGTATGTCTGTCTGTGCAGCTACACGTAACCCATGCGGGTGGTTAATGCCGCAGCGACGCCACTATTTTAACGAAGGAGCAACTCGGCTCATAGGGATCGGCTTCCCCGTTTTTGTATAATACAGTAAAAAAGCAAGCCTTAATAACAAGTGCTCCGGCCAGTGGGACATTTTGTTCATGAGGTGTTTTGCGCTTAAAGACCAAGGCACGCACACGACTAAATGCCCGACGCGGCATGTCACACTTTCGACGGATGGCCTCATCCTACCAGACGCCGCGCAATCACATACCGTCCTGCATTCACTTGACACAGCGATTAGCTTAAGCATGGTTTGTTTAGGCCACACTTTGATACTACGTTGTGTCTTCTATCTTAAAATGCGATAGACTTGATATCGGTAGCCACCTTGGAGCATGTTCTTCCGTAACTCGTAAATATTTCCTTCTCCCCTCCTACGTTTCTCCTCCACCTGCAATCGCGTATCCCCCTCCCCTTTTCATGCGCATGCACGGCTCATGGGCTGTTCCGCGCCTGCGGTATTAGACAACGGGTAGCGTGATTTGCACTTGCCCCGGTGGATACGTGCATGCACTAGCTTGCTCCGCTCTAAAATAGAATTCAGACGCTCGCTGGAACTGCTCAGGCCGTCTTCACATCGCGTCGCAAAAAAAAAAAATAGCGGATCCAAGGGGATGTTGCTCAACAGAACCAGTGGTACACTGATAATCAGCGCGTTCGTCATGATATTGAGAGATCGAATCAGAAAGGAACAAGGTTTCAGTCAGCATAAAAAAGCAAGGCGAGCTGGTGTTGCTTGGAATGAGAGCCGATTGTGAGAATGCAAATCATCTCAATTTAAACAGCAGAATGTGGTGCTCATGATCTACACATTCATTCTCAGAAATAGGGGGTGTAGACGGGTACACCTCTTGTCCCATATGTAACACCCCGAAACAACAATTCGACGTTTGGTCCACCGACGTCGAACCGTCGACGTGAAATTTTACGAGCGACTTGATGGTCGGGCGATACAACTTATTAAAATAGCTAATGTGCGCATTAAATGCTACTGTAAGACATTCAAGGTTTTTCCGGCCCTGCTGAAAAACCACAGTGTTTTTTGTTGTTGTTGTCTTTGATACGCAGAATTGCTATTGTATACGTTATATCCAAATGCCATCAAGCCGCTCTAAAAAGTGGGCATCGGCAGCTCAACGTCAGTGGACTGAACGTCGAAATGTAGTTTTGGAGTGTTACATATATGACAAAGGGTGTACCTGTCTACACCCGTATTTCTGAGAGTACTAAGTACACAGCGAAACACAACAAAAGCTTGAAACCGTTTTTATTCCTACAATTATATTCGAGTGAAAAATTGCATATGAGGTTGAGTTCAGGCAGGAGTACATGTGCAAATGAACAAGCATCTACATTTCAGCAAATGGTTAGACAGCCCTTTTAAAGTATAAACACGAGGGTATATGGGATACGAACACCATAAACATGCTATTACACGAAACCATATTTGCAGTTTGCTTGCATTAAATAGGCTGTGTTCTCTAAAAGCGCGTGAAATATTTTTCGCGTGTTTCAATTTTTTCACTATTTAAAGGGGTACTCCACAGGTGTTTAGAGCTACCTCAACTAACTATATTTTCCTACTCCCGGCCTTTGTTCTTTCCGGTATGCTATTTAGTATCACGAAATTCATAATAGTTATTTTAAAATCGGCAAATGAAAATGACGCAAAAGCCCACATTCAAATATACCCGCACTTTTCAGTGACGTGAGGTCAGTGGCAAGCCGGCTTGCCAGTTGAGCAAGCAATCTAAAATATAAAATATGCCAATCATTTGTTCCGTGCTGGAGCGCTTGTAATAAAGTGAGCTTCCAAAGTATTCTCTTGACAACATGAAACTGTTTCAAATCAGTTAGGAACAAATTCTGCGTTCCAAAGAGAGAACTTGTCCCTTCCAGATACGTCACTTTTCCTTTGTTGCCAGTAGAGACTTTCAGTTTGAAAAAAAAAAAAAAAAACACGATGAGGACAAAAACTGTGCATTTAATACCTTCGCGAAGAAGCAATATTTTGATATAATATTTGGGATACAATTTAGCGATGTTTGTTTGTGCGTTTAGACAAATTGAAAACAAAATCGGAAAACACGAGAAGAAAAAAACGTGTGGAGTAGCCCTTTCAGGAACGATATTTACAGATTCGTTCGTGTTTTTACTCTTGCAAGGAAGGCTACAAAGGTTTAAGAGATAGAGTGTGCATTTCAATTTTTCTCCCACTCCACGAGCAGCACGAATGTGAATCAAACCGATGTGATATAAAAAGCACCTATAATGAACTTGTGGTGTTCACGGCATTCTGTGATAACGTGAGCCTAAGTATAGGCGGTGTCGGAAAGTGAGACGCTAGATATTTGTTAAATCAAACTTTCATACCCTTTCTGATAGAAGAAACGTCGTATGCTCCTTCTTCAAGCTCACGCAGGATCTCATAGAAGATGAATGTCGAACCGGTGAGGATCGTGCATCTGGAATAACAAGCGTGTTTTTGGAGATAGGCAAGCGATGCACGAACATTCTAGAGCAAGTTTTCGGTTTATAAGCGAGTATTAGTATGTTCTTCACAAACTAAGACATATTTTGCACTCTAGACCGGCAGAACTGATACTGAAGAACACGGTCCTCCTCTTGACGAGAAATGGCGTCCTTGACTAGTTGTCTCGCTCTCATCGGCGTCTAATTTCACTCTGCCTCAAAGTAAAGAAGAAGAAATATGTACGCTAGATTCCCATAGTTAACAATAAGTTGAATGTTAAGAGCATGGGTCCGTAGCTTGGATATAATATCACTGACGCCCTAGGGTTATTCATTTGCAATACCAAAATAATAATAATCGAAAATATATTGAAGGCTTGTGTAACCTGTGCTCGGTGATGGAATCCAGGACAGCTTTTGGTGAGAATCTAGCTCCCGGCGTAACCACGGTCGAACCGAACATCGTGGCAGCCAACACGCCCAATGTTCTGCCGAATCCGTAGATCAGCTCTGAGTTTAGGCACATGATGTCACGCTGCAAATAACAACGATCATTTGTTTTCGTACAACAATGTAAGGTAAACATTTCAGTTTTGCACAGCTTCCCCTTTGCCCAAACCTCGCAGATGAAGCAAACAGGCCAATTCTGTAAAGTCAACCTTGTATCAAACTACGTTTGCGGGCTTATATTGTAAAAAGCATACCGAACGTGCATAGGTTCTCCAATGCTTGAAGGTGTGTAATAATACTAGTCTATTTAACGGTTTAAAATTTTAATGTAAAAGCAACAAACTTGTTTTCTCATTGAGAGTTGCATCAAGGAAGATCCACAAGTGAAAGTGAGAACTCGTACATTCCTGATATCATTTTTTCATCATTTATGCATGTATTGAAAGGCATCTTTTCAAACTTTAAACGTGTGACATAATCTAAAAGAATAAGACAATGTTTTTTTGTTTTTTTTTGTTTTATGTTTAAATGGATTGAGAAGTGTTGAAAATGAAAACAGTAGCCTGTCGTCGAGAACACGTGCGTTATTGTTCAAAACTATTATTCGATGCGGCGTCACTTCCAACAGAGCTTTCCTTATAGCTTTGACGCAGAGCTTCCCAAGTCAGCGACCTTGTAAATAACTAACACCAAGAGCTCGGCTCTAGCGCCCAAGAAGCCGCTGGAAAGCACGATTTTTGGCCGCGCTTTTTTTTTTTAGCACTGCAGCAAAGTTTCTCTTGGCGGTGAGAAACACATCTCGCCTGCTATTCTGTCTTAAGTGTCAAGTAATGTCGAGTTGCTTCAATTCTAGACTACTCAGTTCATTCACTCCATAATATAGAATAAATAACACCCAAACGTCAAACGTTGAAAACGCAGTTTGTGGACCATTATACGCATAAACAGTGGAAGAAAAAGAAGAAGCGATTTGCGCCCTGGCTGGACGTGCTCCGCATTGGCTCCGCTTCCACCGGGTTATAGCCTTGTAGCACCGCAACCAAACCAACTGAATTTATACCAATATGTTCCTAACGTCACTAGGACCGCATCGGTGCCAACATTTTCGCACACCGATACCGAGTACGTGAATTATCACCGAATTATCACCGAAAATCACTAGGCCTAACGTCGCCTTAGCATGGCGAGGTGGCTGCCGCCTCGGCGTTAGCACCCCTAGCGACACAGGCACAACCACCTGCGCAACTGCGGTTCGCTCCACTCAACGCACCGACATCAGCGCCTCCCGACCGGCAGCCGAAGCGCGAACTTGAAACTTTCCGCCACCGCCTGCCACCAACCCTCTGTCGCAGCAGCTCCAAACTTCTCCGGCTAACACATCCATTCCAATCACGGCAACGGGTGTCGAATACATGGTTGAAGGGGACGAAATTGAACCCGACACTCTGCGTGAACCTGGATGGAAGACAATCCCCTCCCGCATCGCAGAAACCACCGCCACTTCAGCCACCACCACACCCGCTGCTGACCCCACCAAGCCCAAACAAAAACGCCGACAACATCGCAAGAAACCTACCACCCCTTCAAAAGACCCGCTCCCCCCTGGTGACTTCAAGGTTGTCATTAGTCCTCAGAGCGGTCTGAACCTCAGAAAAACAAATGCAGCCCAGCTAGCCGACTGCATCTTCCACGAAACCAACATGACAGACTTCCCTCAAGGCCAAGTACGCATAAACACCCGTTCAAACTTCATCGTAGTACGTACCCCCGATGAACACAGAAACCAACAATACCTGGACCTCAAGGCAGTCACCTGGAACGCTACCCACTACTCCGTCCAAAACCACATGCCTCCATCCAGCATCAATACGCTAAGAGCAATATTCCAAATCCCATCCGAAGACTCTGAACCACTAATCATGGAAAGCCTTACGCGTCATAGCCCCACCATAACCGTCCCCATCGCCCGTTGCATCAAAAACAGGGGCATCGTGCGAGTCTTCTTTTTGTGACCGGATGTACCCTTCTGGGTGCGGTACCATGCTGTCATTCTTCGCTGCTAAACATACAAGCGGAAAACCGAAGCATCCATGGCCTGTTGGTCCGCTGGCCACAGGCGAGACGTCTGCCCCGAACCCTCCCAAAACCCCACTGTACTCTTTGTGGCACACTGGGCCCCACTACAAATCACCCCTGCCAGCCTCGCGGCATCCTCTGTGGACGAGACCACCTGACAGGTGCATCGGGATGCCCAAAATGCTTCCAGCCTCGCCGCACTCTACCGAAAATCCTATCCAACATACAACCACCCCCCCCCCCCCCCAACCCCGGGACCGGACCTGCCCAGATCGCCACGATCTTCACAACACCCGGACTCACCTACAGCCAAGCCGCTCATTCCAGGTACGCACAGCTCTGCTCCCAACTCCCCCAACTCACCCCCCCCCCCCGCCCTCCGCATGGCAGTGCGAAATGCGCCAGGAAATGCAGCAATTATTTCACACTATCACCCTCCTTCGCGCAGATAATGAATGCATACAAGTGGAAAACCGTCTACTTAAACAACAACTCCAAACCACCCACAACCCTCCAGCTAGCCATCAACTAGCCACCTCCCCCCCAAATAAGAAACGAGCACTGCCCCCCACTATTGACCCTCACCCTCAGGCAACGCAGAAATCTCAGGCGACGCAGAAATAGCCAACGCTAGCGCCGAAATAGAAACGGCTTTCAATAACCACCGCCAACAGACCTCTGCCCAAATCAACCGCGGCAGTTCCACGATACATCTGGCAATGGAACTGCCCCGGTTTTCGAACTAAAAGAGGTAACACCCAAGCACACATTGCAGCCATACCCAACTCCTTCATGCTCATAGCAATACAGAAAACATACCACTCACCCATACTCAAAGATTATGTATATCACTCCCCATTGGGTTTCCCCCAGATAGCCACTCTTGTACATCGCAATATTGTCCCCCAGTACCAAACTTTCGCCTCACCGATACCACACAAACTCACCACACTCCACCTTCCCAAATCCCGTGTCACACGCCTGCACGTTCTTAATATCTATAGCCCTGGTAAATAAAACACACACCCTGCAAATACATCTTTCAGCAGGCACTTTCTCTCACTAAACGCGACATCCTCCTAACTGCAGGGAACTTCAACGCCCCTAACATAGAGTTGGGCTGCTCTTATTTCACTCGCGAAGACCGCCTACTCTCTGAACTTACCCACTCCCTGTACCTCACCCTCCATGGCGACCCTTCCTCCCTGACATGCATTGGCATGTCAGGGAGGACGACCTTCGCGTGCCACCAGGAAAAGGAACTGTACCCGTGTAGGACTTGTCATCATCTGGCACAGTATCGGTCGATGATCATGAGCTCCGGCCATGAGCTCCGGCTTTAGCACCGGACAACTCACCCATCGCACCTCCACAACTTTACACACACTAGGCAGAGATCACCACATCATCAGCATGTGTGTTACCCTCAAAGGCATCTCCACAACCCCCCACTTCCACCACCAACACAAGCAGATTGGGATCTTTTCCGCACCGAATGGCCACTACCACCCACCACCACCTGTGACTCCGACCTAGAACAATGGACGACCTACCATTGCTCAGCTAAACAGATTGCACCCAAGACTATCGACCCTGCTCCTCCAGCGGAATATGTAGAAACCCATCTCCATAACATCTGGGAGGCCTAAACCAGCCTAGAGCGGCGCTGGCGGAAACATAGATACCGACGCAACCTTCACCTCAAACTACAAACCTTTCTCACTAAGATCGAGACGCACGCGCTCAAATTAGCCAGGAACATCTGGAACAACACTTGTGACGAAATGCGAGGCCAGCTCTCCACTAAGAACGTTTGGCACATCCTCCGTGCCCTACTGGACCCGAGCACTACTAAGACCCCATCTCGCCACCAAATCACACAAATTATAGCGGACACTCCACTCTCACCCACCGCCCTATGCAACACCCTCCGCTCCATATACATCCCACTTCCCTCATCATACCCTGTTGGTTCTCCACAATACACTGGCAACCCCAATCCACAGCTCGACGAGCCCATTACCCTTGCAGAACTACACGCGGCGGTGCAAGCCCTCAAACGCAACACCACACCAGGACATGACAGCATCACAACACCGTCTTTCGTCACCTCAATAAGGAGGTCCTACAACACCTTTTACAACTCTTCAAATAACATTGGCTTAACAACACCCTTCCCTCCACCTGGAAACACTGCAACATCACCCTCATCCCCAAACCTGAAAAACCCGCCTCCATACACAAATTTCGCCCTATCTCCATTACGTCCTGTCTCAGCAAACTTTTTAAACACGTCCTGCAGATTCGCGTCAATGCGCACCTTGAACACACAAAAATCTACCCTCCAACATGATCGGCTTTCGACCCAACTTATCCACGCAAGACGACATTGTACAGTATCACCACGATTTCCACCAAGACCTCCCTCAACGAGATTGCACCTCTATACTCACACTGAAACTCCAAAAAGCCTTTGACAATATCTCACACCACAGCATCCATGAGGCAATCTCATCCCAAAACCTAGGTCTACAGTTCTACCACTATATCTATAACTTTCTTGCACAACGTACCGCTACCACCCGTTCGGGCCATGTCCAGTTTGATCCTTTCCATATGCCAGACCGCGGAACGCCACAAGGAGCGATCATCTCGCCCATGCTCTTGAGCCTCACCCTAATCCCATTGCCCGCAGTCTCTTCAGCATCCCCACGCTACGCAGCACACTGTACGCAGCTGAGATTGCCCTTTGGGTCCACTCTGGCTCCGACCAACACATTGAAGCAACACTCCAACACGGCATCAATCAAGTCCTACAGCACATCGAACTTTTGGACCTCCATGCTCTCACATAAATCCGCTGTCCTCACCTTTACGCCCCGTCGCCACAACCCCCTCCCCCCAAAACCCTCATCCAACTTTTTATACACTCTGATCCAATACCACATACGCAACAAATTCGACTTCTAGGCCTCACCCTCACGCACCGCGGATCACCCGCACCCACCCTCCAACACGTAAAAAAATATTTTTACCCGAACCACGCACCTCATTAGAAGGATCGCAACTAAACACCACGTCATCAAGGAACAGGGCCGCCTCCGACCCGTCCACAGTTTTCTGCTCAATTGTATCCTATACCAGCTACTATACCTTAACCTTAAACCAACCCAACTCGACTCCCTTGATGCGCTCCTCAGGAAGACATATAGACATGCACTCCTACTCCCCTCTCACGCCCCAACACACCGCCTGCTCGACCTCGGCATTCACAACACAATACGCGAACACCTAGACGCCCACTACATGTTCCAACTCACCCTCCTCGCATCCTCGCCCACATTGTACAACATTCTTAACTCTATAAACGACTCCCCCTCACCATCCCAATCCCCCCACTCCCCATTCCACCGCACATTCTTAACCGCATCCGAGTCCACCCCATCCCTCGCCACATGCACCCAAATTTCCATGCAGCCAGGCGACCAGCAAGAGCCAACACGCCCCCCCCCCCCCCAAACTATATCCATCACCATGCACACTATACACTGATGCATCAGACTACTCTCACAAACCTGCACCCTGTGTAACTGTTCTGGGCAAACACCCACCACCAAACGTCACGGCGGCCACCGTCCTCATACGAACACAACCACGGCGGAGGAAGCCGCCATTGCCCTTGCGCTCGCCCAGAGCCCGCCCCCCAATTCTTCCTATCTGACTCTCAGCAGGCCATCCGCAACTTTATTAGCGGGAATATGTCCACCATGCCCTTCGCCCTTCCAAATTCTCACCAACAACCCTCTATCCGTCACCGTGACCCTGCTGTGGAAACCAGCCCACACAGGCGTAGGCGCTAATGAGATGGTACACGATCGTGCTCGCGAACTTATCGACCGTGCCACCATTTCAACTGCACCTACGGGCGATGCCCCTACAGGCAAGCATACCTCTCTCCTGCAATACAAGGATATTACCCTGCGCTACCGCCTCCTCTGCCGCCAATGCCCACCCCCGCACCGACACCTCTCAAAGGAGGCAGCACACATGCTGCGCCTCCTATAAACACGCACTTTCCCCCACCGAGCACAACTAATACACACTCACGCGCACCTCTTTACCACCACCGCCTGTACTGCCTGCGAGGCACTCAACACTCACTACCATTCTCTTTGCGAATGCCCCGCAGACCCATACCCCCATCTTCCCTCCCCTCACCTCTGGGAGCAGATGTTGCGTGACCCGGAGGAGTCAGGCCGAGCCCTGACCACCTCCTGGGCACAGGCGGTCGCGGCGGCCCTGTGGACCTCCACCACCCCCAATACCTGATTTACGAGAAGACCAATGAAGTTTCCTCCTCCTTGACAATGAGATCCTTGTATGTCAACATGACGACATCGCTAGGTAAGAAGATTGAAGGCTGACCGTGCGCGACAAGTAAAATTTTTTTTTTTTTGGTTATCTTATTTTTTATTACAATAGTAATATTTAGTTCCACCAGGAGGGCTGATGTGTGCCACAAAGGCCGACGCCCCTTCCACCTGACTTTTTCTAAAATAAGAATTTTGTGAAATACAAACTCATGAAACAGCTTATGTAATTTTTGTCTGGCATACCGTATGCTATATTCTCAATCGGCATGACAATTCTAAAATGTAAAAAAAAAATGAGGCCGGAATTGCTTACTTGCGGCAACACTGGTCCCCTTATTCAAAAATGTATGAGTTCTTATATTTAAGGTTTCCCTCCGCCTCGCATTCTGTACGTTCCTGCTTCCCTCTGCTATTCTATTGTTAACATTCCAGGATTCTCGTGTACACATTGCCAGAGTACAGAAACCGATGTTCTGCACTCTTGAATACTTCAGCAGATGAGAAGGTGCCAATATAACATCGTTTATACATGTTTCGTTCGGCAATGCAGATTGGTCGAAAAGTTTGAAGAGTGGTAGTTAAACAGTTTGACCGATTGACATGGCTTCTTCAGCATCGAACGGACGAGCTTTATCTTGTAACATTTTTGGTGCCCATAGCAGTCATTCCTGCGTTGATACCATCTTACTTTCTATCGATGGCTCTAAAATATATCGAACTATAGAAACATGAAAATAATGTGAAAAGTCGGTCGCGACAAATGTTACTGAAAGCACGTCGTTCAGGAATTACACTTTTATGGTTAATAAAATAAAAAAATAAACATACAGGAAAGCCAAGAATCAAAAATAAATTACACCTTGAGCACTTTAAAAGGCGGCATTAAATTTGTGGCTGGCGATAATTCCTGCTATATTCGTGACCAACTAAATCAAGCTTTTAATGGTGTATACACATTTTATATCCTAATCACCGACACTGTTAAATAAAATAATCGGTTGAATGCCGTGTCCTGCCAGATAAAGATAACACCGAATGCATACAGCCTAACTTGTTCATTGAATAGCGCCAACTATCTAGTTTTGTAGCGTCCAAAAACAGCATAACGTATCTGGATGACTGGCAGCAACTTTTTTTTTTATTAAAACGTTCCAAATAACGCCACTATTGGAAACTTCAGTTTGTTATTCTTAGGTAAATATATTTCGAACCGCCACTTTGTGCTTCGACACCGGCCTTGTTTGGCAATGTTAGCGAAAGGGAATAATTTTTATTTCAATTTTATTCTTCTACGTTATTTCCATCTTTTTTTTTTAGAATCACCGTGTATATGAATCAACCCAAAATCACCAACTTCCTAAACTGCTTTTTTGAAGTTTTATGTAAAAATATGATATTTTGCTCAAATGAGATGAACTACCGGATGGGAAAAAAGTACGACACCTTTTGATGGTATCCAATAAAACGTCCCACAGTGTTGGCGTTGTTGACAACGTTGAAGTGAGTCAGTCGCGCCGGTTTCGGTTGCCCCGTCGTACCCTAAGTGAATGAAGAAATGCCCATAGTTTACAATAATGGCAACGCGTAAAAACAGGCTGCTGTTTTTTTTGTTTTTTTTTTTTAAATAGGTATTTATACTCCATCAGCTTTTCGCGCACAAAATCACAAGGTGCGCTTTTGAGAACCTAGGTTTGTTAATAGCACCGCACGCAAAAGTAATAAATAATGCAGCTGTATTTATTTTCTACATACATGAAAATATACTGCCAATATACCTTTACCTAATGAGATTGCGTAATAGTCATAACAAGGTTATGTGTAGCCATATTTTCCGGCCAGTAAGGCCTCAAGTACCTGCCTACATTTTGAAAGCCATTGCAGCTCCCGTGTTTTATAGCAATTAGGTTCCATAACTCCTGGCCCAGCTTGCCACGTTTAAACAGCCTGGTGACCAAGAGCGGTAGGACACGTTGACCTCGGGGCCGCTTCTATAAGTCACAGCTTAGGCGGTGCGGAGTCATGGCGTCTCGTAGCCAAGCCAAAATTATTATTTGGTACTTGTACTCTCAATGTCAAATCAAATTGAGTTTATCATTATTCAAACCTAAGACTGTGTTCTTCCTTCACCTCGGGTGCAAAGCATGCATTTTATTTATTCCTATATTTAAATAACTGTCAATTTTTATTTGGATTTTTGCTGGTACTAGTACCAATAAATAAACATACAGTATGAGGTAAATATCATTACAAGGATATAAATTCATACATTTACAAAGTTGCACGTTTTCCACTGCAAAAATAAGGAATAAACACTTGCATAGCTAATAACGTGTCTATCTGGGTTGTTCCACTCTCTTGTAGCTTAATGATTACATTAATATTTAAACTTTGAATATTAAAAATACTCATCGAGTGTGCTGCCACGCTTAGGTGTAATGGCTATTGCTTCTTATAGCATAAAAAACTTGATTTTATCCACTTGAACATGTCGTTTAAAAGGAGAACCAGAAATTTCAGTGGAGCAACTTTTGCGCAGTTATCAATAAATCAATATGTTTAGTACTTATGCTGTCGGCTGGAAAGGGTTGTGCGTATTTGTTGTAAACAATTTCAACTGATTTTCTTTGGAAGCTTTCTGTAATATTTTGGTATTTTGTGAATTGGGAAATAATGACATATTTCGGTATATTTGTAGAGGGCGCACAGGGGTTGTGTTTGCTAAGAATTTTACACAACACAAAGGCCATATAACTTGATCTGACCATATGGGTGGTAGCAATGGACACCACTAGGTCATTCACCGGAGCACGCTAAAAATCCCAGGCTGGCGGGTGTATAGTACTGGCTAAATTCATCACGTACAGCTGTAAGAAATGCCGCACGTTAAACCTGACTAACATTCCGGTTGCATAAACGTAACTACAACAAATTTACTAACTAATTCACTGGCTTCAGAACTGCGGTTCTTCTCTGCTTCGACTCGCAGAGGTAGGAAGCAATAAGAAAAGCTTTTTTCAATTTTCTTACGGCATCGGGATGAAATTTGAATGCTCAGTCTCTTATTCGATGAAACGAACCACCAAGCCTATGGCAAATAATTCCTTTTCATAAATTATTTTGCAAATATATGGAACGTTGGTACGCCGGAAGACGCATTAAGGCAATGAGATGTGCAGTGTATACAGAACCGCTCATAAATCAAGAAAATAGTTAAAAATGTTCTTCAAATTGCGAGGAGAGCAAAACGATAACACGTTGTATGTGTCGGCCTTCTTTCGAGTTAATTGTTTTCTTTTTTTGCAAACTTTTTTTTTTATGTTAAGCAAAATTAAAGCGCTCTGCTTCTGGGTTTTTACGGCCCTAAAGAATTATTGAAAAATGAAATGCGAGGTCTCGGATTAGGTGTGACCGTAGAATTAAACAGCCCCCCCCCCCCCCAATTAATAGTGTCGTTCGGTGGACTGTAGGATAATAAATAGGTGTCCTGGAATTTTCTGAGGCCCAATTTATAAAATTTGTAAACATGTTGGTCAACATGTCGGCAACCTCTGTGATCAAATGGCTCTTCGTAGCAGGCTGTGGACTACCATGACCATCACTGCGTAGTCTCGACTTTCTGTTCTCCTTCGTGGAAACCCATGACATTGATGTAATTTTCGAATGTTGTTTATTGTGGGATGCTAACATTTTTCAAGCTTAAAATAATTAGTTTCTAGAGACTTACTGAGGAAAACTGGATAAAAGCATCTTGGTCGAACTGCACTTTGGCAGACACAAACTTCATGGTGGCGTGGTCTTCAGCCGTTGCTGAATTCATCAGGTCATTGAAGGTGATACTGCCACTGTGGGGGATGAATGTGTCGATTAAATGGCATTTACATGCTGGCAGTGACTGTCTCTACGCGCCGCACAGTCATCCCCATTCGTGTAGACGGCGGTCACTGGTCTACTAAATATTGCATCATTTCAGATGAATTGTAACGGTTGCCATTTAGTCCACTCCAAATTTAGATAACCGTGAACCAGATTCTCTTTGCTTACATAAAATAAACCTTCAGAAAAAACAAAAACAAAAATATTACTAAATTTTACAAAGGAACGATGTTTGAATAGTGAGCCTTTCTGTAAAAGAAGTATCCCTGGAGAATGGAGATCTAGATCTTGCCCGCGTAGACTTCGTTTTGGGTGTGATGTACTTCTTTTAGCGGGCCTGCAGTGACGCCATCCCGTGTAGAAAAGAACGATTAACTTGAACACACGGATAGAATTGGTACGCACAAAATGCGTTTCCGCAAAACTTTTTAAACTTGTTTCATGTTTAGCAAATATTTTTTTTCTATCGTTATAAAGACAGAAACTGAGGAAGAGAAAAAGGAGAGACAGAGAAAAAGGTCAGGTCGCGTGGGGATGTCGAGGCACCAAACTCTGGTTGGATTGATTAGAGGGTAGACGCAAAGCTCCCTGGCGTTGTAGCTAATCACTCTTGGAATGCACGCGCGAAACGTCGGTGTTTGGCGCTCGCGTACAAACAATGAGCGGACGGGTTTTTGCTCTTCGCAACTCTCCTTTCTGACGCAGTGTTTGTGTTAGGCCCATCATCATGGCGTCAAGGGGGTGATTCCTGTCGCGTCGCGTTTAGAGTTTTTTTTTTATTTTTTTTTCTTAGTTACTTTTTTTTTTTTTTTTGTATAGATCACCCACTGAAGTACGTGTTGAATATTTGTTTCCGGTTTCTGTGTCGCTTCCTCACACTCTTCTTGGGATCACAACAATTAAACGCGTTCTGCGTTAGAATACCAATTTGTTGGAGTATAAAGTACTCGGCCGGGCGGAGTTCAAACCCCACCGGCCCAGTACTTCATTTTAACAAACGTTGCTTTTCAGATAAGTTAGAGACAACTATTATCAATCATTGCGTGTTCAGAGTAATCATTACGGCCGAAGACATAAGACTTCTTACGTGTAGGAATGCGAAAGCATTCCTACAAACATCGCGCTACGTCGTACTTTTTCACATGGCGCTCCGGTGGTGACATTACGCTCCCCCACTGCGAAGGTGAGGCGCACCCGCCGGCTCCATGGCTTCAGTGACCAAGCTTCTGCGCTGCTGTGCTTTCTCTTGTATTTTATTTCTGAGGCGCGTTCGCTTTCCCTTGAGCGGCCCCGACTGCTTTTGTGAAGAAGCATGTGCTGTGACGCGTCGTTGCCAGGGGCACTTTACATGCCGTTTCGCTCCGTCATTGGAAAAATGGGAATTTATGTACCGTTTTTCGATGCTACTGACACCGCCGGCTTCGCTCCATAAAACAGTAATGTTTTATCATTCATAATTATTCTCAATGTAGCCCGTGTATGATGGCAGCCATAGCACGCTACTTCAAGGCAGTCGTCCTTCCGTTGCCGACGCAACATTATGGTACGTTTCTCTTGAATTTTATAAACAAAGTTTGCTTCATGAAACATTTATTTCGACTTTTAAATTCATCTTCATTTATTATTCAAGACTTACTTGTTAAGCTGATGGTCATTGCTCACAGGCATATTTTTATTTGTCCCCAAGCACTCAGTCATGCGCGCCTTAATTGCATATACAGGTCGCCGTTCATGTTAGGTTGACAATTTAATGTTAGGACATTTAAGACATAAAAAATAAGGCAAACAGATTAGAAATAATTTATTTAGATGGAAGCGTTAGTATTTTTATTGGTAATGAACTACACAGAAGCGGAGATTTCAGCTAAAGAGCGATGAAAATAAGTAAAGGTACCTTTCCTACTGAAATTCTGCAGCAGAATCATTACAGAGTAAGTCACCTTAGAAAGCAATCAACGCTCACCATCACATCCTCCATTTTATTGTACTTACGGCATCCTCTCGTCGCCGATGGTGATGACGTGTTTAAGGAACGGCAGCCTGGAAGGATGCAGCAAAAGTTACGGCACTTCGAAGACAGCCTCATGTCTTCTCGTTCTCAGCGAGTCTAACGTTTTTTTTTTTTTTTTTAAATGGTACAGCCAGCTGTGAAGTTCAAGGCTTTATTTAATTAAATATCAGAATTTTTACCTTTGGCTGTTCAATTCTCTCGGCGATGATTTCTCCAGTTCCGGTGCAATTTGAAGTAACATCTTGTAGTACTTGTTATCAAGAAATTTTTCCCCAAGGATCAGAGCCGCACACTCAGTCTGAAAGCAGTTGGTCCTGTTTTTACATAAAAACGGCACACAGCGGCGAAAGCTCGAAGTGTAATTGGCGTCTAGAAAGGTAGTTGCGCTAAATAACTCTCCAAACCGAACACGATTTTCGCTTGAGGTTAGACGGACACATTTTTTTTAACTGTTTTTCGGGACCCTTTGCGGGTGGAAAGAGTAGGGTCTCGTCCGGAAAACGCAGTGGCGCGCAGACGGCAAGAACGGTCAATGAAGCGACTCCACGGCATATCGCAGGACGGCAAATAAAAATATGTTCAATTTAACGAAAAACGCCGAAAGGATATCAAGGGAGAGAGGAGGTTATTGCTTATGTCGCTCAGCGACATCAGCAATAACTCGAAATTCCGGCAGTTTGTGCGTGTTTCCTTTTTACGCCCATGGAAACCTCCATAGCGATCTGCGTTTTTTTCATTCCCTCTGTATACAGCGAAGCTGTATACAGAGGGAAAGAAAAACTTTAGCCCCCTGCAATATCATCATAGCAAATGCAACTTCGGCAGTGTACCAATCCTGACATTGATGGCTGTCGCAGTATTCCCGGAGGCACTCGTCGACAGTACCGCTGCAGCGCTCGACAGCTTGGCCTATAGGGTCGTAGGGAAAAGTGTGGCGGCCTTGGATGGCCCTTCGCATCATAATTCCCTTTCAAAATGCGCCTAGAGGTGGGTTCCTGCTGTCACGCAGACAATCCGGTCTGTGCGACAGCAGCCATTGAGGCAGAGGATCAATCATTTTTACACTGAGCTCTTCAGTTGGCCCTGTTGACCACTGGCTACCTTTAAAAACGTGTGGTTCTCACGATGTGTATTCATCCGCTGACATACCTGGTAGCTCCCCACAAGCAGAGAAATGTCGAGCCGAATTTCAATAGAGTGGAAACGACTGGACGTACGCCAGAATGTTTTGAAGCAGCTAGCGTGAGCACTGAGGTGGTGATCGTGTCCAATTTGGAAGTACAAGGGACCTGAGCTGTTCTTAACATAATCGCTTTTCTGATTTGATTTGCACTAGCAGCCCGCTTGGCTCAGCCTCTGTGGCATCTTCGAGGTTCCGCAGTAATTGTGTTCCCTGCTTTTGCTTTAGAGCGGTCTTTAGAATATGAGCTTTCAAAAGCGAAGGCTGTTTATCTCGAGCCAGTTCTACAATTAAGCTCTTTACGTGACATAGAGTTGACGTGTCATTTTCCGTCATGGCCATTGTCGTTTCAAACCTTCCCAAATAGCTCCCGTTGCCGTGACCTCTTCCATGCACAACAAATTTGTTTCAGCTTGCCCAGTGCGATGTTAATGTAACTGTTAAATTTAGGTGGGCACTTTTATGAAAAGAGTTCAGTCATGTATGTTAAACCTAGCTTGGTATATCACGTATGTGCAAGAGCTTATACCAAATTTTTCTTTTGGGCTAGAAAGCTGTTGATGGCAGGAGATCCAACATAAAGCAATTTGTTTTTCTTTTGCGGTGCGATAATTTTATTTAGAAACACCAAATATAAGTGCTCGAAACACGATCAATACATAACGGTATTAGAAAAAAATCGCAATGTCCAGTGCTTTAGATAAACCTCTTGCCCTCGCTATAAGTCATTACAACATATAGCTGGCCTCACCGGCCACAGCGTGAGACACCTCCTGCGCGGTTTAACGTCACCACTTATATACGACCAAGGGTGACGACACCCTACATGTAAGACGAAGCGAATCGCACGCTCTTGGGCTGTCTCCTCTATCATATCAGGCAGAGCCAGCACGGTCAGCCGCACGAGTTCGGATTTACTAACTGATCCTAAACCCATACCAAATCCCAGCACCATGATGAGCTCGTTGTGGGGTTTGTCGCAATCTGGATTTTAAAGAGCGTCCGCGCAGTTGAAAGAAGCTGGTCGACTCATAATAAACGAAGATACAGATTTCACGAAAAGAAGAGAACTGGATGGGCTGAGTTTGGAACGATACAGGAGGAGCGGCCTGCTGAGGTAATATTCAAGACAGGCGTAAAAGTCTGTGGATACGACGCCCCGGCAAGATCAGACCTCCGTCGCTACCACCTGGACACCGAAACAAAGAGCCACCACACGATGGCTGCACACGAAAGGACCATGTAAATATATGTATACCCACCCTAGGCAAAAAGCAATACTTGAAACGAAGTTAAAATATATTGAATATGAATATTCATTTTTCATTCATTCTGCAATATTTTGTTCACATTCGAAATGCGCGCGTAAGATATTCAAAATATATATAAATATTAATCAGAAAATATCTTAGATATACCAAATATATAATTCCTTCCCCCGCAAGATGCCGTTTGTGTATCAACTGCCGGCTACACATTTTTTTTTCGATTTTGTTAGTAAATGGTGTCCCTGTGGTATTTAAAGGCACTTCTAAATCCCCCCCATCCCACAACTACACATTAGAAACGAACACAAACACAAACACCATTACACACTGAACACCTGAATAAGAGTCCCATGGACTGATCTAGAATTTTATATAGCCTACATATTGAAGGTAATCATTCGGCTGGTAACTACCTCTGCACTTATTAAGGTTCCAAGTATTTGATCTTCTCCACGAGAGTCTGTCGAAGGAAAAACAGTGTTTCGAAGTTCGTGGACGATATCTCTCACACAAAAACATTGGTACAACTAATAATAATTCGGCGCAGTCGCTAAACAATATTCACAAAAACGGCTCTTAGAGAAACGCTACGGCTTCTCTGCATAGCACTACTTAGAAAGAAGCGAGTCAAGGCAGTTTATTCACTTTAAAACAGTTATTTTCCTTTTCTTTACTAGTTGCCTATTTAATATGGCCATTGAGGTCACTATATTAAAGTCACTACTCACATCACATACTATGGTGAGTATACACATTCAGTGAACTAACATTGTGATAGCGCAACCACGCCAAGCATATCTGCTTACAGCACTTGCTGAGCTTTCCAGCATCAGCAAGTGTTGTGGTTGTAGTTCCCGAACCCCGTTAGTGATTGGCGTGCAAGAAACTCATTACGTGTGTTCTTGATAGAAAAAAAGAAACAATAACATAAACTGGGCTGATTTATCAGTGCGATGCTGCACAACTCAATTGACAAGCTAATCAAATGTATTTAGGCACTTCAGTGCACTACACATCTGCTTGAAGTGAACTTGTGAAAGGCAAGCTTTTGAATCAAACTACCAAAGTATGAACCATTTTGTTCTTAGCCCGAGACTGAGGCAGAAAAAGAGGAAAGTTTCAAAGTACAATAAAAATGAACAGTCGAGGACACGTCTCTAACACAGCTAAGAACAAGTTTATTTTGTCACTTTTTATATACACTCCACGAACTTCACCACAGAACCTTCTCGACTTCCAAAGCCAAAAGATAACAAAGGTCTCATCTGTTTCCACCATAATTGTCAATAATTGTGATTAAAGACTTCACAATACCCGCTTTCACTGTTTTTGAATGGCAACCCTTTTTTGACAGCAGCGGTTTTACGTTTCCTTTTCCATATTCCCAACATAGCCCTTTTTCATTGTGAATCATAAGTTCTAAAAACTGCAGTTTACCATTCATGGGTCGTTCGATCGTAAACCGACCGTAAACAGTGAAAGCGGGTAGTGAGAAGTCTTTAATCACAAATGCAATGGAGAGGTCATGTACACATTTCTTGGCTGAATCAGTAGAAAGACAGTGGAGAAGGCTAAACAGTGCTGGTTATGAGGATAAATTCGTAGGGAAGCAGTTATCCGTAAAATTCTCAGACAAATGCACAGGGGAACCAAAGCAAAGGCCAAAAAATAGAACTATTTTCATTACGTTTTATCAGAAACTTTCTCACAACTTAAAGGCTTGTGCCACAAAGTTCGATGTGGATCTGGTTTTTAGTTCGGATTACAAGTTGAGTAAGCTCAACCCTTCCAAAAAAGTGTAAGGGAATGCACAAAATCTCATCGAGAAAAGTCTATTCAGTGTACTAATGGAGCGGTACATGAAATCCCCCTGGAATGTAACTTTAAATATGTGGTGCAGACGTCAAGTTGTATAAATGGCAGATTGACTGACCACAAAACAAATGTCAAAAACCACGTCGCTAATTCGGAAATAGCAAAACATGTTCAAAAATGTAATAATTGTATACCACGCTGGTTCGAAACAGAGATAATACACAGGGAGTTAGACGACATCAAAAGGGTTGTAAAATAAACAATAAGAATGAAATCAAGGGGAAACTGCATTAGTCAGGTGTCGTTACAGCTTAGCAGCAGTGCAAAAATATTCTTGCGGATTTGAGAGTTTTGTAAAGTGGTTGTTGAATGTGAAAAGGTTTAAGTGGTTTCCTCCTTTGTGTCTGATGTCTTAGGGTGGGGATCAGGTGGATTGGCATGAAATGCTTAGGTGGGCCAGTTGGTACACCATGGGAAATAAGCGCCAAAAGAAAAAAGACAAAAGAGTAGAATAACAACGACACAGGATTGGCATCTTTTGTTGCCGGGATGCTTTGTGTTTGTGGGCCGGATAGTAGAGGGGGGGGGGGGGTGCTATGTACGCGAAGGTACAGTCAATTATCTTCCAGGAGGGGGGAGCTAGAGTGTGTTGCTTTGTAAAAAACGTCAAGGTCGTTTAGCAGTTATGGTGGAAAGAGATGAGACCTTTGTAATCTTTTGGCTTTGGAGGTCGAGAAGGTCGAGAAGGTTCTGTGGTGAAGTTCCTGGAGTGTATATAAGAGGGTGACCAAATAAACTTGTCTTCAGCTGTGTTAGAGACGTGTCCTCGACTGTTCATTTGTCTTCTTTGAAACCTTCCTTGCTTCCTGCCTCAGTCTGGGGCTAAGAACAAAATGACTAACATCCACCAGCTAGCCTGCGCAATCACTGCATTAACAAAGTATTGCAGTCAAGAGATACTTACAGTGCAGCACAACAGTATTTACGATTTCTAGGTATTTTAGGAGCAATCTGCACATATTTCTGAACGCTGCA